AAAGGAGGCTGAGGGGAGACCTTCTTGCGCTCTACAACTACCTGAAAGGAGGTTGCAGCGAGGTGGGTGTTGGTCTCTTTTCCCCAGTAACAAGTGATAGGACGAGAGGAAACGGCCTCAAGTTGCACCAGGGGCGGTTTATATTGGATCTTAGGAAAAAATTCTTCACCAGAAGGGTTGTCAAGCATTGGAACAGGCTGCCCAGGGAAGTGGTGGAGTCACCATCCGTGGAGCTATTTAAAAGACGTGGCGCTTAGGGACATGGTTTAGTGGTGGACTTGGCAGTGTTAGGTTAATGGTTGGACTCGATGATCTTAAGGGTCTTTTCCAACTGAAATGATTCTATGATTCTATGACAAACCCTTATAATTCAGACAAAAATGGATCATTCTGAATGAGTATACTTGAACTTATTTCTTCTTTTGATCCCAGCTGCCCTACTCTGACCCACGTAAGCAGACTGCTGGCTGAGGGACCAAGCCCAGCGGGGCAGTAGCTTAGGCCACAGTGCAAAATAAAGGCCTGGATACAAAAGCTCAGATTCTTTGCTGTCCATTGTGTGCAGTGTAATGATGGTCTGTTCCTACCCAGCTTTGATGCTGTCAGTGACTGGAGAAACTGGGGGAGATGCTAGCCACTATGCACTCCATAAAGCTAGGGTTAATTACGGCTTGAGAACATATTACCATGGCCTTCAGGACATTGAAAAATAAATACAAATTTCTGAGTGTTGAACTCCCTCTGACTTTCCTGTGACTAATCTATAGGCATTCTGTGTTTTTGGAAACACAAAACAATTCTGTAATATTCTGACATATTTCCAAAGTTAAGGACACTTTTAGTTTTTACAGTCATATTTTGTCGCTCATACCTTGGCCCTTTCTTCTCATCAAGGTGTACTTGGCATTGACAGTTAGAGGGTTCTGCTCCTATCTTCACTGTCACCATATCAAATGGGACTTCTGCGTAGTATTCTTTGATCTTTGGGTTAAACTGAGGATTCAAGTCCAGCTGTGGACTGGTGAAGATCTGCCTGATATGAGATAGGGTATCTTTATCTGTTCCAAGAAGGCATCAAAGAAAAAACTGTGAAATGTATGAACATTCTTAAGTAACATGCAACTTCTGGCAGATTGATAACATGTACAGTGGCAAGATTTTTAATGCCTGATCACTCTTTGACTGATAATCCTGCTGCAAGGTCTTAATGGAGTTTGTATTGGCACTTGAGAGAAATTTTTAGACCCTGAAGGGATTTTAATCATTCAGTGCCCAATGACTCTACTCAGAGTCACAAAACTCAAAGTCTGAGTAAGCCTTTGAAAATGCAAGGATTAGGTCTGGGAGATCCTGTCTCCAGTTGGTTAACTGAAACTTAAAGAAGAGTTGGGCCAAAATTCATAACCTACTTAGGTACCAGCCTGTGTACAGGGTTTATGTACATGTGTAATTGCCAATAAAACTCAAAATAAGTTAGACATACTCTTACTGTGCATAAGAACAAGTCACATGGAGATATCTAGACCCATGGGGTCATTTGCAGTACAGCTGGAAGAATGTTTTATTAAAATTCCTAAATCAACAAATTCCAGCTCCTTCCCTGTGTATGAAATCTCCACAATCAAATCCTATTTGCTCAAATGTATCCTTTATTTTGTAGTGTTTGCCAAATGACTCATGAGAATAATTATTTGCTGGCAACCCACTTATGACAAATATTTTAATCCAACCTATTGAATTCAGATTTACAGTATAATTACACATTCAAAACTTGCTTTCCACATATATTCTCTAGTATGTGTTTAAAACTGGGTATTTCAGAAAATACTCCAGCCAGGAAACTCTTTTACTATAATATCTGAAAAATTTTGTGGCTTAAAACATGGCTTAAAAGGGTCATAAAGGATGCAAGCAGTTCTATGTGGCCTTTTCTACCTTGAAATACTGCCTTGAGAAACAAAACAGGGCAATTTCAGTGTGCTCTTGCATGGATTAAAATGTAAAGGAAGTTATTCCAGTGGAAGAGCAGAATTTGGGCTAGATTTGTAGGGGAATAGAGGCTTATAAGTTGACACACAGAAGGTACAGATGAGTATAAACAGTTCTCCAGATCCTGTATGCCTTACCTAGAAAAGTTATCTCACTACTAGCTTAAAAATGAGCAGGAATTTTCAAAATAAAATGAATTGAGGTATTTTCAAAATAAAATATCATGCAATCAGAATGATGATGTCAGTCAGCCAGCTCAGGAGCATTTCTGACCTCTGACTGACACAGAAGAGTTCCTGTAGGCACCATGAGATCGGTAACAGAGGGGAAATAAGGCTCAATGGGTAGAAAAGCCTTTCTGCCACAGACGAATTGTTTCACGTTTATAAACTGACCCCTCAGATAATGTGTCAATGAGGAAGGCAGCAGAAAGCATTGCTCCCACCAAAGACAAATATACTTTAAATCTTTACATATCTTTAAATATATTTTAAATATTCCTACAAGCAGATATTTTAGAAAAACTCTTCATCTCTTAAGCAGCTCTTCAAAATTCCACCATTGAGCTGAAGACTGACCTTATACAAGGCTGATTAAACTCCATACAAGTTTAAAGGTTATTCCACAAGAAAAAATGTATGCTAAAGTTCTTAGAAATAAGGGGCAAAAGTCTACTGAAGTGTGGCAAGGGATCAATGAGTGCTGGAATACTCACATTGATATGCACGCACAGCAATGTTAACTTTGTGCTTGAGGCTTATTTAACATAATAGCCCAATTATTGAGTGATTCATAAACATTCTTGCTACTTAAAAAATCCTTTTTTTTTTTACATAACAGCCCGCAGGCACTCCATTCACTGAAAGGTTTTGCAGAAAAACCCAAGAAATTTGTTCAAGTAATCTCTCTTCTTCCCTCTTAGTGGTCTAGAAAGAACTTGACTTACCATAACTGCATGGTCTTTCTTTAGTCTTACTGGAATAATGCAATGCTGAAAGATAAACAGAAACAATTAATAATTTTCTGCTCTAAGCCTGATTCACAGTCCTATAGGAGAAGGAACTCTCATTGTGTTAATTATAAAAAATACAGTGTACTTATATTCTTTTCAGTGTGAGATCTTTGCTTTAGGCTCATGAACACTGCTTATGGGCTCAGCAGAACAACTTACACAGATAAGGAAGAAATTGGTCTTTTATATGTAGTAAGCCAAGATCTTCCAGCTGGAATGCAAAACAATGTAATCTAAATCATACATAGTATCAGAAGTAGTACAAATAGGAAAAACATACTGTATATAAAATACCTTATTCTGATCCCTTACCTTCATGATTCTTCCTGAAGTCAGAAAGAACATTCTGCTTAGGACTCACATTTTCTTGAGAAGAATTCCTGTCAATTCAATAGCAGACATATTTCTACATGAATGGAAGGACCAGAAACAATGGAATGTTTTTCAAAAATTTCTATATGGCAACCCAGGGCATATGGTATTTTAATATTCTCCGTGGAAAGATGAACCTTCTGGATTCATGTTCCCAGCATTAACAATATTACCTTGAATGAACGTGGCAGAAAACACACATTCCATAATAAATGGTAGGATATAACATGAAAAAAGAAAACCAGAAATAAATTCCAAAACATAGTTGAAGTGCTCGGAAAAGGAAGAGTGGCTATAGCCAAGAACAAAATAACCCAAACCATATCTCTTAACTGTATGATGCTTTTTTGTATATATTTGAGGTTAAAGTTAGACTGGATCGATGGGCCAAGGCCAACTGTATGAGATTCAACAAGGCCAAGTGCCGGGTCCTGCACTTCGGCCACAACAACCCCATGCAGCGCTACAGGCTTGGGGAAGAGTGGCTGGAAAGCTGCCTGGCGGAAAAGGACCTGGGGGTTTTGGTCGACAGCCGGCTGAACATGAGCCGGCAGTGTGCCCAGGCGGCCAAGAAGGCCAACGGCAAAGGCCAATGGTCCTGGCCTGTATCAGAACTAGTGTGGCCAGCAGGAGTAGGGAAGGGATCGTGCCCCTGTACTCGGCACTGGTGAGGTCGCACCTCAAATACTGTGTTCAGTTTTGGGCCCCTCACTACAAGAAAGACATTGAGGTGCCGGAGCGTGTCCAGAGAAGGGCAACGAGGCTGGTGAGGGGTCTGGAGCACAAGTCTTATGAGGAGCGGCTGAGGGAACTGGGGTTGTTTAGCCTGGAGAAAAGGAGGCTGAGGGGAGACCTCATCGCTCTCTACAACTACCTGGAAGGAGGTTGTAGCGAGGTGGGTGTCGGTCTCTCCTCCCAAGTAACTAGCGACAGGACGAGAGGAAATGGCCTCAAGTTGCGCCAGGGGAGGTTTAGCTTGGACATGAGGAAAAATTTCTTTACTGAAAGAGTGGTTAAACATTGGAACAGGCTGCCCAGGGAAGTGGTTGAGTCCCCATCCCTGGAAGTATTTCAAAGACATGTAGATGAGGCGCTGGTGGGCATGGTGGTGTTGGGTTGACGGTTGGACTTGATGATCTTAGAGGTCTTTTCCAACCTTAATGATTCTATGATTCTATGATTTGTTCAACAAGAATTAAATATAAATGAAGGCCTGTGTCAAGGTGAATATCTGTACTGACATTAGCATGAATTCATATAATGGAACATCTATGTGTTTTGATTTGTTTGCTAATTCAAAACAAATCACATGATCAACATCCAGAGTGTATATATAAATCCTCAGTGAAAAAAGACAAGTCAATTGCAACAACTCATTAACATAGTAGTGGTGCCCGTATTGCTAACTCTGAAGATTTTTTCTGTCATATAGCATTTTGGGAGCAGAGTAGAAGAAAGGCAGTAGGCTCCTCTCCAATCCATGTACTGGACCTCTAGCTGACAAAACCTTTCCAGAGGTCCATTAGCATTTCTTGAAGCTTTCACATGTTTTCCTCCCAGTGTTTTCCATAGAAGGAAAGAAGCAGCTGGCAGATCTGTGTGTGTCTGTGTGTGCATCGACGTGTAGTTTTGAGCTTGCAGTGTCTAGACACCACCCTAATTTCATGCACATTCATGACCTCTTTCAAAGGAGGCACTTAACAAACTATTAAAGAGTTTGTTTTCCAGGTTATAAGTCATTTTGCACCCCTCTTTCTGCTTGCTGAGGAGGTAATGGCTAACTCCTGTCAAATACGTTTTTTCTCTCCACTGTTCCTTTTTGCATTGCCCAGTCCCAAAACCTATTGTAAGGTGAAAGCAAGATGTCTTAACTCTATAAAATGCCAGACTTTTGTTTAGCCAGAGGACACCTCAGGAGTGTGGCAGCCACCACCAGTGCAAGGCCCCGGCTCCCAAAGGAACTGCATGACCTGCACGTGTCAATTCTGTAAAGAGATTGCTATTATCATCAGACAACATTAAGAGACATATAGTAACTCTATCTAATTACAGCAGGGTATCAAAATGTAATATTTAGAAATTATATTACAGAAAGATACTCAGATTACTGTATTTATCTCTGCTGAAGACTGGACTTTTTAATCATCAGCACCATCAAGTTTTCCTTTGTCCAAGCTCCTTGAAGCCAGCAGGACTGAGGAACAATGCAGTTATGAAGCTCCTCCTCAGGCAGGGCGTGGCCGAGATCCTGGACTCTGCAGAGTCCTTTCCTTCACACGCTGTTACTCAAGAAGGGACCTTCATCTGTATGAGCGGCCCCTTATTTACTATCTAGGAGGAGCTATCAAGTGCAGATGTGCGCATTGCCTACACACTTTGCAATCAGCTCTAGTGAAACTAATGACTGTATGTTAGGTACCCTAGGGGAGTGCATGCTTGTGAATGTACCTTTTGAGAGATCCCTACTGTACATCACAAACTATTGACAGTGAACCTCTCCTTTAGGAATCTCTCTGATTCAGCAAATGAAAAAGCGAATGGATTGACAGCAGCAATAGTAATGTAGCTCTGATGGTCTAAGCAATCAGAGACATAAGCAATGAAGGATGTATAGAAATAGATAATATCTTTCATAAGATTAAAACATAAAAAGGAAAAAATCTGGTCACTTTTGGGGCCTCTGATGGATGTGTTAGTTGTGGATGGTGCAATTTTTAATAGGTCATAAAGTCAATGTTAAGACCATATTTCAGTACTCAGTAGAGTTATGAATTTTATTTCTTTAGATGATGTTTTGTAGGCCTCTCTTGAAAATGAGGAGCCACCGGAGGTAATTTTGTGAAACATGATCACTAGCAATTTTTTCTGTTTGATTAACTGGCAGCGTAAGCTCTCTGTTTTGTAGCGTGTTTGCTTGGCTTCAGTCACAGAGTTTTCGTGAGGGCATTTGGTTCACCGAATGAAGTATCTTGTGCTGATTTTCAAAACAGAAATACAAAATTGCACACTCAAGAGTGAGATTGGTTTCCTGGCACTTAATCCCAACTGTCTCTCTCCTTCCCTCCTTCCTTCTGTCTCTCATTCTTCCCATTGCAGATCAGTGATCTTATCCCAGACTTCCTTGCTGTTGTCTTCTTCTGCTTCATAGTCTGAACCATGTTTGTTTCTCAAACTGCCCAGGTGATAAGCATGACCAAGTTAAACTCCAATAAATTATTTTCAACCCAAGTTCAGTTTGAGGGCTGCTGCTTCTATTTTGACCTAACAAAAGGTTTGCATATGGGAAGCTAATAACACTTTTCCAAATATATCAGTTGATTTCATAAGAGCATTTGCAACTTTATTGACCTGCTTAGGCCTTTGTCTTATGCAAATACAAAAGGGTTAGCTTTTCTCACTAATCTGATTCTCCCATGCTACTCTGCTGTCTGACACAGCCAAACATACTTGCCACAGTACTTCATAGCCCCTATTCTAAATGACAGTAATGACATATGTGTTAGTCATATCACAAGCTGAAACTGCATAGCATTGAAAAACAGTGCACAAAAATGCAGAAAATTATTTCAGTGCACATGGTAGGTACCACTCCATCACTTTCAAAGAACTTTGCCATATGTTATACCAATACATCTGAGATGGTCATTCTCACCTAGGCTGTAACCATTTCATTATAGTTTGAGATGAGTTTCTAGAGTTCTTCTTGCTTCTCCTGTGGAAGGAATTCAGAGAGTTCACTAATACCTTTTAAGGTTTCGATACTAGTCATGTAGATGAAATGGGTTAAGAGAAGTACACCAGGAAACTTCTTTAAATCCTGTCTCCATCCTATGGATGGATTCATGATCAGTGAACAGCATAACTGTGTAGGACCTAAGTCAAAAGTAATTCTTTTTCCCATAAGTATCCATGCTTGGCTGATTGGACAGTCAGCTATGCATATCACTGGATTTTGCAAATGGAAATACCAATTTTGCATAGTCAGAGAAATAAGAACCGTTAAATAGATCAACCGAACAACTGGCCTTCGCTGAAGAAGTTCAGGAAAAGTGTTCTGATATACAAATTTATCAAAGCTGGGAATCTCAAAAAAGATTAATCAAAGCTCAACGAAAATGCATACCTGAGTTATTTGGGGAGTAAGCTCTACTAAGCTCTTTCTCCCTTGCAATTAAGTATAATTACATGCATATCTGACACATGCATCACCATCACATGCATGTAGCTATAGGAGTGGAAGATTATGTTTTAGCAATGTCAAAACACATGTTTTTTTATACAGTGAATGAACAGAATGGCCTATGCCCTGGAGAAAGTTCATGGTACTTCTACATATTTATATACATACAACAATGTTCAGCTCAAAGAAAAAAAAGAGGCCAAGGGGCTTGCTCAAAGTGAGTGAGTGGCACAGCTTAGATTAGAACAGAAAGCTGCTAAAGGTTGGTATGCTTTGATATGCAAACCTAAATATTTTGGCAAAAGGGCAAGGGCTTACACATGAATGCAAGCAGCTGCATCTTTGTTACTTTTCATGGAGTGGCCTGCAGTAACAACAATAATACTTAGCACGTTCATGGAACTGTGTATTTTCAAAACACTAATAAACAGTTACCTAGCACAGTGGTAAAGTATAAGCTCCACTTTGTAGCTAAGCAAACAAAGATACAGATGAATATTGACTTGCTGAAAGCCACGCCCAATTCAATGAGGAACAAAATTAAAACTTAAGAAATCTTACAGATGCCTTATATAGTCACTATGGCATTGTCCAAGTAAAATGTACAAAATAATGTCATTTGCACATTTTACTTGAGACTCAGTGGAATGGAGCACAAACATTTTCTAATGACCCTCTGTTCTGAAGCCCTTGTTTGTGAAATAATATATACCTGTAGTCAATAAAGAAGTATGATACATGTGTATGAAACATCATTAGCCAGGACAGAATGAGCACAGAAAACACATTTTTTACAAATTTTATACTAAACATATAGTATACCACAACTTTTCTCCTTCCCTCCATTCCTTCCTTACTCCCTCTTTTCTTTCCTCCTTTTCTTCCTTCCTCTCTTCCTCCCTTTCTCCCCCCCCCCCCCCCCCCCCCCCCCTCCCCCCCCCAAAGTTAAAATATCTTGCCAGAAGCTCAATGGATCCAACCTTGTCATTACAATATTTTTGCAGCTTTTCAAAATGAGGATCTCAGAGTATGGTGCTCTTTGACCTGTCTTTTCTTGGACAGAAAATTTAGAGCCACTCAAAATTATTAGTCCCTTTTGGAAAAATCTTCACCTGCAATTTTGTATTTTCTTTACAGTTTTGCTTCTAAATGGTGAATAAATTAAAAGATGGTCTTAACGCTGGTAAGCACTCCTAATTTTGAGTTTACAGTTGCTCAGAAACAACCTACCTAATTCACTTCATATTTCTTAGAAAAAATTTTACTGTAGCTTCAATTAAGTTTTTAACCCAGAGTCCTCTATTAGAAATGGGCAAACTGTCCTATGTAGAAACCTAGCTGCAACTTTAATGGCAGAATGGCTGACAGTGCACCATGATGGCATGATCGATCTTCATCACAACTGCTGTAAATCCACCTACATCTACTGAAGGATTAAGTTTTATGGTGCTCACTGGAGCTCCTGCAATTAATATAATTTGAGAAACTACTCCTGAACATATCATATAATAGCTATCTTACCATTCTGAAAAATTTGTATGTGCCTCTTTAGTCATGAACTGGAATTGTTCAAGTAAACTGGAAAGCAACCAATGCACAGTCAGGACTGAACCAAGCCGCCTCATTGGGTCTACCATGTGATAAAGGTCGCGCAGTAAAGTTTGAATCTTGGGTGCAGCAGAAGGGAAAAGCTGAGAAGAGAGACACTGATTAGAGACTACAGGTTATAATACTTGTAAAATGCAAAGAAGTAAGAAATGAAAAAAAAATCGGAAGACAGTGTATATACAATACAGATGGATTTATATTAATGCTCTTTCCCACATGTGTAGAAAATTACTGTCTTGCCCGGCCGTGCAAATCAGGATTACTAGTACTGACATGGAAGTCTAACTCCTTTGCCTCTGGTTCGACTTCCAGATCTATTCAACTCAATCCCTCTTCAGAAAGCCTCATCACTCTCATTTCTTCTAGACCTCATTCAGGAGGTCTAGAAGAAATCCTGATATCATGCAGACTTTCTGAACAACAGATTCAGTTGCAGATCTTTTATCTCCCCAATACTCACCACTTCCCTCATTAATTGCCATACCTATTCACAGACACTGACTTATTCCTTCATCTCTTTTCTTCTCCAAAAATGAACTCACTTGAAGTGTGAAGAAGACGACATCTTACATATTCCACCTGCTTTTTTTGCCACTTTTTCATCTATATCTATTCTCTGGTCATGATCTCAGTGTGGTGCTGTCTCCAGTTCTTCCATTCACAGCTGCTTTGCTTCATTGTAAGTCTATTTTCTTACCGACTCTTTAGTCATTTACATAATTTTCCTCCTTTTCCTTTCATTCTATTTTCTGGTCTCTGATTCTGCTTTAACTCTCCTTTTCAACGAATCCTCAACTCAAATTCTGTGTTTTATTCTTTTTCTCTTTTAATTTAAATTCCAAAAATCCTCCAAAATAAAATCAGGATAACCTCTATCTCCCTGCTTCCCTGTCCATCCAGCCTAATGCATGTGCCAGAGACAGCAAAGAATGATAACGAAGGAGAAATGTTAAGAGATTTACATAAAATATGTATCCAACACAACAAAACCCTGTTTATTTTACCAGCTCAAATTGTCCAAGATTCTTCAGCTCCTTTATGAAAGTAATCATTGAATTTATCTCTTCTAAAGACAAACATTGCTCTTCTTCTTTGTGGTAAGTTCCATCCTATGAAGGAAAAGGCAGCATATTCTGGTGAAATCACATGGAAAGCAATGTGCTTTCATTAGACCCCAATCCCTTTGGTGATCAAAGGGACAAGTTACAGCAGCTCTCAACTTGCCCTAACCTCATCCAAAGTCATGTGAAGCCAGGTCCTTGATAACTCTTCCCATTTCTCAGTCTAGAATACAGTAGACCGTGCATTAGCTTTGTGCAGAAAAGAACTCATAGGAACTATCATGGGAAGAGACTGCATAAAGTATAGACAACGAAGTGGACAATTTGAAATGTGGTCTGGTCTCCTACGAAAACAGACTTAGGTAATCGTATCACACGTGCACATGTCTGCGGCTTCCTACTTTATCCTGTCATAAGTTTAGAACCCATGACCCTGTTTTAGTCACACCTGCCTGAGAGGCAGAAGTCGCAAGGATAATGTAGTCCGTGTAAGTCTTGCAAGCAGGGGGCTCCTCAGAAATGCCCCTTTACAAGTGCCCAAACTGAGAGAAATACTGCTAAAGGAGTTCCCAGCTTGTCAGAAATAGATTTCACAAGTGATGCAAACTTTATACGGACCCTATAAATGCAAAAATTGTAATTTGATCTTGCATTCAGAATAAGTCACAAAGTTGCAGGAAACAAAATTTAATTCTGATGCTCATGAATCTACTTGTTTGAGTTAATCAGTTCTAGGTGTATGAAAACACACAAACCTGTATATTAAAAAAGACCATTAAAAAAAAATGGTGGGGAAATTACTTTATTACAGTTTTAAATAGATCTTTAAAGTACTGTACTTTGGGGAACGACATAATTTGAGAGTGGAATTTTTATCAAAGAAAATTTGATTGTTCAATATAATTACAATTTTATTAATGACTTCCCCAGAATTCAGTAACAGATAGCTTTGATTAAATAAATCTTTCATAAGTTGGCACCAGGAATTTCAGAAAGGCATACAATTTAGAATGAAATATTTTCAAATAGTTAATAATAAGAAAAAGGTGGAATGAACTACCTTGCTCACAGCTGATCCATGTATTTTTTGTAAAGCTCCTACGAAACTGGATGCTGAGGATCCATTAGATAAGAGAAATTTAAAAGTATCTTCAAAAAGAAATTCTTTGAAAGTTTGGTCCTGAATATTTGATTCATCCTTATCTTGAAAGTCAAAGTTTTCATGCACCTGTTGGAAGACAATAAAAGAATTTATAGTTTGAATATCAAGTCCATTCTTCTCATAACCATATATACCAAACTGGAACTATTTATTAAAAAAAAGCCATAATAACACTAATAAAACAGGATTATAATATAGCAAATACTGCACCACATTTTCTGTCAGAACTACACACCACAATGTTTGCTGACCTCCAGCGGATAGAGTACAATATTGCATTCTCATGTGAGAGCTTTTTTTGTGTTTGATTTGAAATTTGATAAAAGAAATAAAATGTCAGCTTATATGTTAAAACAACTCTCTCAGGTATTTAGGAAATGCTGCATATGAAGTTATGAGTTTTGCAATATATAAACACAGTGAGTAAACTCATGTTTATAAAATATGAATAAATTAGTATTTTAGCATAAACACAAATACAACTTCAGGCTGCATGGGGTGCGTGCATACTACAGTTTCCAAGGGATACTATTCAAAGTCAAATGTCATAGTAATTATCAAACATTATTTTTTAGTAATTTGTATTTTCATAAGAAACTATTAAACACTACTAATTTACTGTACATTTATGGATTATGGCTGATGGTTGAGACTACTATACAGGCAGGTAGACATTATGCTTTATGTTTAGTTTTTTAAGCAACTCCTGGGAGAATTATTTTACAGCCTGGTATACAATTATTAAATTGTTATGATGTGTCACATTTCTTATACCACCTAAACAAGTCTTGTCAGACTAATTAAGGATATTGTCTTCATGGATTTTTTTAAATTATGCAAACTTTTTCTCATATGTCCATTTTTCCTTTGTGTTTAAAGGATCTTTGTTTTGTGAAGGACGGAGAGATTGACTGCACTGTTGTTACTAGAAACTTGAACAGATTTTAACTGAGGATGAATTTTAAAAGTGTTCTCCTGTAATTTCCCAGGATATATTTACTAATATTTTTTTGCCTTTTGTGTATCATAAATATGGACAAAGACTTTATATACCTAGGTATATACATGTTCATATGTATATACAGGGGTAAGGAGAAGCAGCTGGAAAGCAGTACAATTTTTGTTTCTGGCCAAGCTGTTCTGAGGCAGGAGTGGTACAAAACTGGCACAGGGAGTTTATGCCCCAGGTCACATTTCTCTAGTTTTGAGGGCCTTGAGGACCATCCAGGAAGAAGGCAGCACAGTGGAGGTCAAAGCAGGTGATGAATTGAAGAAGTACAATGCAATTCATAGAGCGCTTTAACTTGTATTAAAAGCCAGTTGTGGTATTTTAACTTCCTCCCTTTCTCTTTGTTCTGGCACAGTTAATACCTAACACTACTTGCATGCAATGCTTCCTATGGATTTTGTTTAGCTGATATTCAGTTGGGGTGATAATCCCATAATGCTAAAACTGAAAGGTTTGCACACTTCAATGGTGTGGTGAACTTCATCACAGGAACTCTGTCCCTTCAAAACTGGTTTCTCCCACAGCAACTCTCCACTGTTGGGCGAAATAAGTATTAATGTACTTTGAAATTTCTCAGAGGTTTGAGGGCAACTGTCAGAGAGGGTTCCCTGCTGTGTTCTTGTAGGTGTAAGTTTTTTGGGTCAAGCAATAATTTGTGTAATTTTCTCACCTCAAGAACTACTGGGTATATGGAGGTGCCGAATCCAATGTCAAAGGTTAGCATTTGAAAACATTGTCTGCATCTGAAATACAATATAACAGGAATCAGACTCAGTGAGGTTAGGTACTGTTGTGAAATATATGCTACAATGACATACACACAGAGATCCAGAGAGCATACACAAGAACTTACACACATAGGTCAAGAGAATGCATGCAATACAGGCTAAATAAAATTTCTAAGAAGAGCCAGCAGCATTAAACATAGATAGGGTCAGATTGTGAGCTGATGAAAGCAGTGCTATATTAAAGTGTATTTCTATGGTTGACTTTTAAACCAGTGAGGGAGGTGAACTACACTGCAAAAGCTTTGAAGACATTTGGAGGGCAATAGATGGTGAAACTCTCTGGGCTCACTGAAGGCAAAGAGTTGTGCTGCAGCTGTGGGGACGTTTGAAGGCACGAGCCAGGAGCTCTAAGCAAGTCTTGGGTTACATAAACAAGAGATATCCATCCCATTGGTAAAAAAATGTTAGAGTTTGGACCACCGTCAAAATAGCTCCATCCCTGTTACACTCCTCCCCTCCTCGCTACCCTCTCCACTCAAAATGTAAGCTTTACTCCCAACTTGCATAAGTCAAATAATGAGCTTTATATTACTGCTACTAAAACACCTGGCTTCTCAAATAGCTTTATAAAACATATAAATGTAATAAATAGTAACTTATTTACTATTTACCATAAAAATGTGAGGGATGTGACATCACATATATAGAATAAATATTAATCTTAATTAATAAAAATATTACATGATAAATGTTGATTTATGTGTAAGAACTGTAACTCTCAAATAGAAGTGATTGCAGTGATTTAACACCCACAGAAAAGTGACTGTTGCTGCCTAGGTATATTTCATGAGGTACGTTTCACAAAGTATTCTGCGGTGTCTCTTGTTCAAATTGCCTGCCGCAGCCAGCTCTGAACTGTCTGGGCTACTCTAAATATTTGACATATGACAGAGGGCTCACTGAAGGGAAATAGAGCTTTATATATATTAGGACTAGCCCAATTGTGAGTGATTTCTGCTCATTTATAGTGCCTGAAACACTTCATCAGAACGCAGCATCTGGTCCTAGGTATTCACCATAACCTTTTCACAGACTAGAAACACTGTGGATATTGAAGAGTTTTACGCCCTAAATGCAGCACATCCTCACTTTATTCTATAAGGAAGTATGAAATAGAGGGGATTTTGTTATTTTAGGAGTCATGTATCCTCTACAATTTTTGTTCTGTTCTAAAGAGCTATCTTGACAATAGCATAGCAATGACCACTGAAAGTCACTTACTGATTGAAAGAATTTTGTCCTGAGGCAGATGATTCACTGAAGACTTCAGTTATAATTAGAAGTTTGCTTATAGCTTCTTTCATGTTGTTGAAGGCTTGTTTGGGAGAACTGCTTTTGAAGAATATCTCAAAAAACCTTTGCAGCTGTGAAAGAGATTACACATTTTTTACCATTTAAAGTAAATTAGTGCTTAAGATCATAAATTAAAAGGCTGGTAGAAGTAAAAATTGCCTTAGAATGTAAACTTCAGTTCTTTTCATTTGCACAGTAAAGAAAAGAGGCACGAAAAGCTCCGTGCAGAATACTAGTAGAGAAGGACTCTTTTTTTACAAGTAAGTATATCAGAAACGAACTCTGTATTAATGATTTTAAAAAATACTGCTCACAGACTAAGCTTACTTTGATAAAACCTTTTGCCGTCAACTGGTTCTAGGCAACAGAAACCACAAACACTAATTTCTTCAGCAGTAGGTAATAGCACACTCAAAGTAAAAGCCTTTTCTCTTGTTAACATATTGTGCCAAGGGCTATCCCACTTGACCTTGACTGTGAGTCCTTACCCCAGGTTAATAAGCTTTAAATAGAATATAGAAGAGAGATGTTGAAAAAGTGATCAGCCACCACAGCCTGTGTTTTAACTGGACTCTTGCACATCCTGAGGATTTTAGACTCATGAATCCTCCCAGTGGCATATTCTCTGGCCTGCGTAACACTGTCCTCTCGGTTTCTTTCATCACTCATGAGAATTTAGCTGTCTCATCACTTCAGACAGTGATTCAGCAAAATAGAACTGGAGCAACACAGAGCCCCAGTGAAGAGTGGGACACAGGCAGGTTTTGTTGCATCAGTCCTTTGTGCTAAGAAAGGAGCTGCCTTTGAACCACATTACCACACTGCACAGAACCCAATTAATGTCTGAACTGTGTAAAACTATTAGATAATTTGGTAGTACTATATTACCAGATACATTTATATAGTATAAAAGTACCGTCTTCAGAGATAAAGCACATAAAGTATACACACAACATGTTTTGTATTGATACTCAGAAAAGAAAAAAATTCTGATTATTTCTAGGAATTTCTCTACTAAATTGACTTAGAAATGCAATTATGTATTTTCTATTATCACCTATCCTACATGATCCACTAGGGTAACATGACTGAAGCATGCAGGCTTCTGTAGACAGCCCCACTGGGGACTGATGTGGTTGACATCTCTCTAGCTGCCTTTGACTACAGTCATGATCAAGTATTCACTGTGGATGAGTTAACAAAGCTTGGCCTTTAGCAGAAGTCTGTAACAAGGCTTAATGTGCTATTTTGGGTCTAAAGCATGATCACAGAATCACAGAACCACAGAATGGTTGAGTTTGGCAGGGACCTCTAGAGGTCATCTTGTCCAAACCCCTGCTCAAACAGGGCTACCTAGAGCCAGTTACACAGGAATATGTCCAGACGGCTTTTGAATGTCTCCAAGCATGGAGACTCCACAACCTTCCTGGGCAACCCGTGCCGGTGCTTATTCACCCTCACAGCAAAAAAGTGTTTCCTGATGTTCAGACGGAACCTCCTGTCTTTCAGTTTGTGCCCATTGCCTCTTGTCCTGACACTGGGCAACCACTGAAAAGAGCCTCACTCTGTCTTCTTTACAGCCTCCATTCAGACATTCGTACATATTGATGAGATCCCCCTGAGCCTTCTCTTCTCCATGCTAAACAGTCCCAGCGCTCTCAGCCTTTCCTCATATGTGAGATGTTCCAGTCCCTTAATCATTTTAGTGGCCCTTTGCTGGACTCTCTCCAGTAGTTCCACATCCCTCTTGTACTGGGGAGTCCAGGACTGGACACAGTACTCCAACGGTGGCCTTGCCAGTGCTGAATAGAGGGGAAGGATCAACTCCCTTGATCTGCTGGCAACACTCCTCCTAATGCAGCCCAGGACACCATCTGCCTTCTTTGCCACAAGGGCATGTTGCTGGCTCATGGTCAACTTCGTGTTCATCAAGACCCCCCAGGTCCTTTTCTGCAAAGCTGCTTTCTAACTGGTCAGCCCACAGCATGTACTGGCACATGGTGTTGTTCCTCCCCAGGTGCAGGACACTGCACTGTCCCTTGTTGAACTGCATGAGGTTCCCATCTGCCCATTTCTCCAGCCCATCGAGGTCCCTCTGAATGGCAGCACAACCCTCTGGTGTATCATCCACTCCTCCCGGTTTTGTGTCATTAGAGAGTACACCTTTCCCATCACCCAGGCATTTAATGAAGATGTTGAACAGGAATGGACCCAGTAGGGACCCCTGGGGTACACCGCTAGTTACTGGCGATGCGTTATGATGCATTCACTGTGCTGACACCAGATCTCCTTACAACATACTTCTGTGCACTCTAGTCCACAGAATTAGGAGCCTCCCCTTGTGAGCACGAACACTGCCAAGCACACTGGTCTGCATTGGCATGGATGAATGGCTTTCAGTTTCTTCAGGCAGCATATTGCATTTAAATGTAATAAGCATTTTCCGCTTTCCTTTAAAAAAAAATACTGTATCATTGCCCGCAGCCAGCTGTGGGAAATACTCAAGTATGCAGCTAATGCTGATCCTCCTTTGCTTTTTGCTCTCGTCAGTTCCAGTAACTCCCTTCTGTTGTTCTGGTAAATAACTGGTGGGTAGGAAGTTGGGTTGCCTGTCTTTCTGTTCTTATCACCTCTGGTTTTATTCTAACAAGTGGTTCCCTTCCCAAGCTCTACTGACTAAAAGACGTGTCCCATGCACAGATCTGGGCTGAAGGTTTGCAATGCCTGGGACTCTTTCTCCTGTTTCTGATAAAGCTACTTGAAATACCAGTAGGAAAAAAATGACAACAGTATATATGACTAAAGTTATAAAATTGAACCTTTGACTGCCAGGAAATTGCAAAGTAAAGGTTGCACATATAGCCTCAACTCTGCCCTTTGGATACTCACATCATGTTGAAACCTTGAATTACATCACACTGTATTTTTATGCTGAGAAAGTTTTCCATGTGTACTGCAATTCCATGAGTCTCTAGGGCAAAAGAGCCCCAGAACTGCTCTTTAGAAAGAGATTATGCAAATCCTCAGATCACACTCCATTTCATTGCCACAACCAGCTGAGCGGGAGTCTGTGCTTCCCAAAGTCTAAGATCACCAAACTGTGTTTCTCCCAAAGAACAGTACAAAGATTAAGAACAAGAAGCTGCACAGTTTTCAAATCAGTTCTGATTTAGATTAATCTCTGAGTGAAATTGTCCCATTTCAGTTCCTTGTTCAGGCCAAAATCAGTTAATTAAACTGTTCATGTGAAATAAAAAATTTAAAATGAAGACTCATCTCACCAAGGTGGGACTACCTGGTGGTTCTTCAGCTGACTTTGACAACTATTCCCAGCATCTCTGCCAGATCCTGTACATCACTCACA